ACGGTATGTCTAGTCTGCACACCGCGCCTATGTCTAGCCTACGTGAGACGCTGAATGGTTCAACTTGTTGGTTGTTGGTCCATAATGTTTTCCCCTTTCTGCCGGAGTCCATTCTCCTTCAAACCCATTCGTCATTCATCGTGTCGTTTGAACAGTATGCACAATGTACTCGCTTACTTTTCCTGATAGCTAAAAAAGCGGAAGGGATAGAGATACACAGCTCGTACTTGAAAGGAAACAATCCAAAGGAGACAAACAAATCAGCAGCCTGCACTACTTTGTATTAGATTATAGTCCAGCCGCTGCTAACGAAAGTACGCTAGTTCTACATACGAAAACGTAGGCGTTATTAATCACGAACAAAATGAACCCCCCCGGATATGTCAGCGCCGACGATACTCGTTGAACAGGGTATACTAGCACCGTTGCTTAGCATCGGTTGAGTTATGAAGCACAAACTACTGATTAAATGTGATTCATCTGCACAGCAGCACAATCAGCGTAAGCATACGACGTGCATACGTGTGCAGCAACTTTAGAAGAATGCTTTGCTGTGACTCTAGTTCATGAGAAAAACTTGTAGCAGGTAAAACTGAACAAGAAGGAACGGCCGGGTACGTACTTCGGATCGAGTTGAGCTGGACGAAACTTTCATTACGCAACCGTAATCCAGTTTATGCGGACGGCTTAACAGGAGGGACGCCGTTAAGCCGGATGCCTTTTTATTAGAGGGGTAATCCTAAGCAAAGGCTTGAGAGGTAGATATCAAACGTGGACTCCATTGAACATTAGCCTGCTTAGCAGTTAAGTAACGGTTTTGATGTCACCTTTCTTTTTGAGGGTGAATGCCGCGATGATTCATTCTGTGTGATAAAATGGACATTTTTATAAACCGAACTTTTTCGAATAGGCTTTAAGTGCCTTCATCAAAATTTGCTATTGCGAAGTTCCAAAATTACTGTATCTCATGCGTTTGTGGGACCAGTTAGCCAGTGTCTATCGTAAGTTTTCGTTATTTTCCCTAACACATGTTACTGGTGCTGAAGTTTACAACTATGCCAAATTTATTTATTATATGTAACGCGTTGCGTAATCAACCCTATGTAATTACGCTTTTATAAGATGGGCTAAAAGTTTTAGTTGTCTTATTAACATCTACTGATAACATCTACATGTAACGTTGCGAGATTCCTATTGAATTCACTTGTGTGTAACACTTTCTAACCGATCTGTACAGGTTTCCCATGGGACAATGTGCAACATGGTTAGCCATTATTCTGGTCGCAATAGTATGCCAATATACAGCCGCGACATTGTAAAAAACTAGAAATCTAAGAAAACAAACCGTAAATAGACAATTCGTTATCTGAATGCCACAGAGGTGTTTCTTCAAATTTTATCACGTGCCTTCACTGCGTTGAGACGATGAATCGCCAAACCACCATTGAAAGTATCTCTATTTTTTTTTTTTCTATATTATCAATTCTATTAGCAGGGAGCCGGTAGAAACATCATTGATACCGTATATCATAGAAAAAGAAAAACATTACATTTCGGTTTCGCGATTTACGTTTCCATTTATATAGCACGTAGTTACTGTAGAAAATGTTATACATCATAGTTAAGATCTGAGTATGCATTGCTCAATAGCCCCTCCTATATCGAAGTACATTGGGCTTCACCCTCACGCACATATATATACGCACGCAAGATACACGTTTTAAGTATAAACATTGTACTTTTTAGCTTTGTTCTCAGTTCGGCACTTCGTTTTCGAAGAGGTTTTTGTCTGCCGACGGTCGCAGGACGCCTCCAGCAGCGTCGTGCGATACAGCCGCTGCGGCAGTATGGCAAAGCAGAGTTGACGTCTCTGTACTAATTTTGCTAATGTTGGTCGTTGCGCTGAGTCTCTGTCGATGTGCAGCCGTTGGAAGTACTCAATTGCTCTCGGTGACAACAACAGCAGCAGCAGCAGCAGCAGTCAATTTGCTAAGATGTTATGTGAGTTCCTGCAGCTTTCGAAGCTTCTCGGCCATTAACGGTATGTTGGAGATCGCTTACCAGCTAGTTCCTAGTCTCGCCCGAGTGACTACTTGCTATTTGCGAATATGTCTACGTTATTGGCCAGCTGACCAACAAGTAACAACGGCAGAAAGAGCTATGCCGACATCACCACTGCGGCCGCCACAAACCTCTCTGACGGAGGTTGTTTCTAGCCACTAGAGTCATATCTCGACTCTCTCCTCTCTCTCTCTCTCTTCATGTCCCTCGTTCTGTCTACACACTCAATTTTTGGCTTTTGCAAAAGCTTGAGATCAATCGACGTTCCATAGCATTTTGCAACGTGATTGTTGCATCGGTAAAGGATGTAGTAACTGCCAGACGCTACATAACGACCGTCGCGTCAACGCAACACAAATTTATGGCCATCAGTCGTCCTATGTCTTTGTCCGGCAAGGTGTACCGGAACTACCCAGCACATACGTATTGAACCTTGTGCTACTTTTGTATTACTACTAGTTCTATTTCCACCTGCTTCTCCCTGTGCCTAGCATTTCATTCCATTTAACTGTTATAATATTATTTTGTGTCCCCTCTTGCCGGAAATTCGTTTCGTTAAACTGCGAGAAACACACACAATTTTCATAGAAAATCTTTTACACTAATCTTCCGACGAATAACATTTCATGAACGATCTGTGCGAAAAACACCAAGTGGCGCTGTGAATAACGACGACCACGCGTCCATATTGCCTCCACCTACCTGTCCGTCTATCAAATGACTGTGCATGTATACGTGTATGTGTATGTGTTGTGTGTTTGTTTTGGTGATTAATACGGGCAGCTAGGCAAGGAATTTGTTCCGAAGTCAACGAAGGCTGGCTGCTACCGTTCCTGTTTCCGTCAAAGAAACATTTCCTTGTAGCCACGGTAGTTCGAGCCAGCCGATGCACCTGACCGAGCGCCAGCGGGTCGTCGCCTGGCTACGCAGACAGTCTTGAGGCGCTACTGCTGCTGTGGCTGCCATCATTTAGATCTGTCGCATCTGATTGCGGCTCGGAAGCTGCTGCTGCTGCTGCTAATGGTTTTTGTGAAGCATATGAGCAACGCGAAATTGTCCGTAGACCAAAACATATCAAAGAACACTTTTGAAGTGTTTACAGCTCATGCAGAAAACCAACCGGTGGCTGGAAGACGGCCACTATTCGAAAAGAAATTACTTCGCAGGTTAGGGATTTCGCAACGAGCGAACGACAGTCGACAGCGGAAAAGTGCTGGGCTAAACGTACACCGTCAAACAGAATGTGAAGACTGTCGCATAGACAGAATTTCTATGCACCATATTATGATGCATATAGAGTGAACCACGATTTAACAAACCCAATATTTGTACAGGACAAGCATGCAAATGCTGGGTCGAGCAGACAAGTTAACTAACCTTGCGGCAGATGAATGACTCAACGATGAAAGCACGAATTATAAGGAAGTTCATCTGTGTATAATCACTATATCCGCCTTTTCAGTGATTTGGTAGAGATACCTGATCTGTTTTGTCTGGAGGAGGCGCCGTTAGCAGCTAGGAAAAACACTAGTATTCACTCCACAGCCAAAAAGGATTTCGATATTTTTAATGCAAGCTTATGCCAGCACAAAGAGCGTTGTGCAGATTTAAGGACTGCCGTCTCAGGCCTACGTTTGAATGTGGAATTACACAAAAGTCGACCGCTCTACAGACGCCTTCGCGCTACGTATCAGTTTTAAAGCGTCTAATGATACTAGAGAAATTAAGCAGGTTCCATATTTAAAGCAGGGACCCTGCCATGTTCGAAATGCTTACTATGCCTACGTTCTTATAAACTAAATATTAGTAAGGATATCCTAATAATTTCACTAATACTCTATTAAGAACTCTATTGGTGGCTAAAATATATTTTGGTACCTATATCTATGTATCCTCGCGATGATGCAGTGGTTTCTTGGATTCAAGCGTTAGAAGAAACGCACGCGTTTCGTGCTAAAGACAAGCTTAATTAACTAGCAAGTTAATAATAATAAACTTCCGGATATAAAAATTCTACAAAATTATTCACCAGCTTTATCTATAGATAAGCGTTTAGCCGTAAGTAACGACATTTACAGACTGACACTACGCACACATATATATATATATATATATATATATATATATATATATACACAGAATTACTGTTAGATCCCTTGAAAAAGATGCTAAGAAGATGCTTCTGAATGAATAAAGGAGATCGTATACTAGACTAGTAAAAGGCAGGCTCTACCTAATTATATGAGATGTTTATACAAATAAACTTCGACAAAACGTACGTATGCGTCTGCCTTAGAATGGATCGTACCACTGCTACTAACAGACACAACCGAGGCCTAATTAAAAGTATGGCTGTTCCGAAGTTTCAATTATCGCAGCGTCGTGCACGAGCTTCTCTACACTCCGCTGACGCGACAATTCTAGACTCGACTCGGTAGTGTCTTGACTCTTTGTTTCTTTTGTGCGACAAGAAAGCAATGATGCGTACAGCCAGTCAGTTTGCGCTCCGTCAGCCAGATTTGCATCCGCGTATATCAAACAACGCTGATTGTTAGCGCCCATGAGAAGACAGTGGAATACGAATTTCTGCCATTCAGAGATAAACCACAGCGCACCTAGCAGTCTGTAATGTCAGGGTTTAGGGGGTTTCAACAGCTTACGAAAAAGGTTGGTTTATTTTATACAATTTGACTCTCATGCCTTTTAGGCAAGCTTCAGCAAGCGGGGCTTGTATTGGCAATCTGGGGCTCTTTCCGCTATAAACGAACCAGCTATTAACCTATCTGTTTTTCAATGAATTACCACATGCTGCTCGTTGCATCAAGCCAGCTTTTTGTTTCAAAACCACGTTTTCTACAATAGCTTTCTACATACCGATGTGCAAGATGGCAAGATGTAAGTATGCATATATCGTACTATTACACATTACGTGAACTTACTTTCCAAGTTCCTCCTTAAGTTCATAGTTATCACTGAACCGCGTCGTTGGTGTGGGTGGCGCGGCCATGGCTGCACTGCACCAGGCACTTCGTGCCGCCTTCTATTCCACTCGTTATGCCGAACGTTTTCTGCTATAAAACTATTCTATTACAATCTGCCGCTGCCGACGACTAGAAGTTCTATACGATTAGCTTGGAAACTGTTCCTGCTTTAGCTTCTGTAGCCGCTGCTGTTATTACTGTTGCTTGAGCTAAGCTTCCGATGTTGTTGTTGTTGTTGTCGTGGCCAGCGACGGCGCCGTCCTGATGGCCGCAATGGGGCAGGGGGCCACTCTCGAGGCAACGCTGTGGTGGTATTGTCGTGTTGTCGCTGCTGTCGCAAAAGCGGTCGCTATGCGCGCTGTTAGTGGCTTCGTACACACCAGCACTACTCTACTGTGAGTACTAGGTGATGGTTCTCCAGCCGCTGCTGCCAGCGACGGCTGACTTGTTAACCACAAACACGAATCGTTGTCGTCGTCGTCGTCGTTGTTTAGTGCGGTGCGATCATGTATAATTCTCGTCTCGGGTCCTGTACACGACTCTTTCGCACTCTGACACGCACGTTCTCACCTGGCGGCTGATATAGCAAAGCCCACAGGCAATGTCGTAATCGCAGCCGCTTCTCAGACTAACGAGCTATAGAATAATTTCTGATTCTGCAACGAACGCAATTTGCGACTGGTGGTCTCGTGTCTGATTGTGCAGATATTGATCGTTACACGATAGACTGCGATGCCAGCTGTGTTTCTTTCTCTACCTATTCGGCCTCGTCTCGCGTCCTCAAATAGGCGTTTCGCGACCAATTAATACTAGCCCATCATGCCGCATACGTATGTATGTGCTGCTGCTGCTGCTGCTGCCACTGCTGATTGTTAACTGCTGTAATCGTCGATTTTCGCACTCAGCTTAAAAACTGAGCCTTTCGTTTTGTCTGCGTAGCGTAGGAGACGTGTAGGGTGACAGACGAGAACGTAGCCATTGGTAAGAGCGATATCTGCTTCAAACGGATTCGTGTGTTGAACTTCGCGTCGGTCTTCGCATATGGCTGTGACTATTATCCTATCTGCTTGTAGAAGAGAAGCAGTGTTCCGGTTTGAATTAGTTGGTGGTCAGCCACAAATAGGCGCACGCCATTGTCCTACCATCTCCAAACTAGTGCCAGTCTCGAGTTAGCGCGTTCGGGCTGAACGATTTCTAAGTCAGGCTCGTCTTTTCTCTGTGTCTCGCGTTTGACGCACACTACTTAATTGAATGTCATTTTCTTTGTCTTTGTCTCGTTCCTTTTGCACTCGATGTCAAGATCCTGTCAACGAAAACAACTACTACAAAAGCAATAACACAACGCTGCCGACAACGTGTCGTCAATTGTGGCTAAACGGGGAAGCTATCGTCCATCGGCGATTCGCCTTCTATTACGATGCCACCGCCCCAGCCGATGTTTCGTTGCATGGAGTCGCACCGCGCGCTCTGACCAGATACAATCATACGCACCCACACACTCAACACAATAACACAGTAGGAGAGAAACCTGGCTGACCGACATCCACTGAATAATATTGTATTATTGTTATTGCCGTCGTCAATTTCCACGCGTTTTTTAAGCTCTCCAAGCGCCCAACGCACTTACGCTGTAGCTTATTGTGCTTCTGGATGCTGTTATTAATTATACTAACCACCCCACGATGTCGAGTGTTGGGGGGGGGGGGGGGGTAGGATGGCTTCAATCTTGCTGCTTCAGTTTTTCTTGCTCGGACAGTTTGTCTTTTTCTGCTGGCGTTGTGCCGACCGAAAGCGGGGGGAAAAGAAGCACTCGCTGTCTTTGATGCCCAACACCAGCCCACATGCCCTTGTTGTAGCTATCACGGTGCGCACGATTGTGCACTACAAAGGCCACAGTGACTTCCAGCGGCCCGCACAAAGCCCAGTCTTTTGGGATTCGTTATTGCTTGGTGCGCTGGCCAGCTGGATGAACAACTGGATGGCCACTAACTGGACGAGGTGCTAGTTACTCTACCCGATGCTTTATTGTTATGCATGCACGCACGCACGCAAGCACTAGTTGGTAGTAGCGGCTTGTCCTGCCGTTGCCGCGGCTAGTACCACCACTGCAGTTGTGGCACACTGCAAACAGCCGAGCAGGGACCCTTCTCGATCAGAAGAGAACACGCACTCAGCTCAGGCTGGAGGCAGCGCTTAGGCGCTGGCCTAGACTCAGTGCGCCGTTGTTCGGTCCGGCCATTCCGTAAGCACACGGCCACCGTAGGTTGTTGCCTCGGTGCTGCTTCCGCTGTTCTCTCTCTTTCTCTACCTCGTTTGCCCTTCTCTGTCGCCTTCTCTCAACTACTCGATGCCCTCTGCACAGGCAACCAGCTTCCACTACTGCTACTACCACTGGTATTGCCGCTTTATCTATACCGCTGCTGCATCCAAGCGTTGCCACAATATATCAGTGGCAGCTGTAGTGACTGTGTATGCCGTGCTGCTGGCAGTGGCTGTAGAAAAATAGCGCGCACACACCAAGATGCTAAAAAAGAGCGCGAGCAGGCGCGGGCTGTTGGTGTCGCCGCCACCACCGCCGCCACCGTCGTCGTCGTCTTTCGCTGCTGAGTCGTCCTCCAAAATCTCGTCTTTCTGAGTGGCCTAGCACAGACAGACGCACTCGCACCACCGCAAAAGAGACTCACTCAGCGAGACAATGCGCACTGTCGTTGTGTGTCTAAGTGTACCTGTGTGCTGACCTGCATTCGCGGGTATGCTACTAGATCTGGTCGTTGTCCTGCTTGCCTGCGACTGTGGCTCGTCCTAAAGCTTGCCGTTGTCCGTTATTTGGTTGCTACTCCTCGTGCCGTTGTCGTTGTCTGGTAGGGCCTTGTTCACCGGTCCGCCGTTGTCGTCGCCTGCACTAGAACTCACTCATATAGAAAGGGCAGCACCACGCAGCTCGCACAGGCTCTGTACTGGCGACATGAGTACACCACGACGATGCTACTGGTGCGGTGCTTTCGAGCTGGTTCGAGCCTCAAGCTCTTATTTTGTGACTTGCGACCTTCTGGGCTTTTGGTAGGGATTCAGCAGCTACATACATTCTGCCTATCTGTCTGTCTTCGTTTCATGCAGCAGCGGACCGTCGCAAGGAAACTGCGGAAACACTATATAGATGATCCACTCGGTAGAGCGCAGGACTAGGATGACTGTTGTTGCTATTGCTAACTGGTAGGCTACAGTTTGTTTGTGAGTGGCGAACAAGCGCGTCGTAATCAGCTTTCGCTGAGTAACAAACGTCTGTTAGATCCTAACTCTCAGCTCGTGCTGGTAATGCTGCTGTGGCCAGTTTGCTTCAATTGTAGCCTGTGCAAGGATACACACAGAATATGACGACTGCCTGTCTGTCTGTCGACCTGTTTGTGTATAAATGTGCGTGTGTGTATGTGCATTCGCGCGTGTACAGCTTGTCTCTGTATCGGTAAGCAAGCCTAGCTGACTGTTTCCAGCTAACTTGCTTGCCTTTCTTCGTCTGTTGGCAGATGCGACGAAACATCGAAGTCGGGCGTCCGTTGCTCTTGCAGAGTCGAGTCAAATTCTTCAATCAGTTTCGTCTATCGATGGTTCGCGCCTGCTGCAACAGTCTTGCTTCTACTTTTTCTATCACCAGCAGCACTATCACCACTGCAAGCACAGTTGCCCCTGCTGCAGTCTCACCACTTCAGCTGCTGTTGCTCTGCGTTCGCTGATTCTGTCTATTTAATAACACATCATCGCTACTGACTCCATCGACATTTCTTACTGTTTTTATTGCTGCTGCTGCTGCTGCTGCTGTCTGTCGCACGCACGCAGGTGGATGCCAGTCGGTGCCCGCCGCCTGTTTCCACTCACTCAGTTCACGGCAGGTACCAACTCACGGCTGCTAGTGCTGCTGCCGCTACTATATTATTTGCAGAGTATCTAGCCGTCGAGCAGCTCAAACGACATCGTCGTTGCTGGGAGATCTCAGTCTGTCGGTCAGTTAATCCGCCCGTCGTTCTCAGCTTATTTTCGTGCTGTTTCTCTCACTCTCGCAGCACCAGCCCTACTACCACCATCACGGCGGCCACTAGAGAATGGCTGCCCTCTCTCTTGCCAGCCTCTCGTTTTCCTTCCTTCTCTGCCCGCCTGTCTGCCCGCAATGCTGCAACAGCAGCAGCAGCAGCAGCATTTTGTTCCTACTACCGCGCAGAATCGGTGGGGGTGGGCTGCTCACCACGTTGGCCGGTTAGGTGAGGGTGGTTGAGGGTTGCTGAAATCTGTCCAGTCGTCGTTGCTGTCCACGACCACGAATACTAACAGCAGCCCTTGGTGCTATTTCCGTCCGATGCTACTGCAGCAATAGAAAAAGAAACAGCAATAGCATCTCGATGTTCGTTTGCATTGGCCCGCTGTTGTTGTGGTGACACTGTGCACTGCCTGTAGCAGTGAACTCGGTGTTTCCTTTGTTACTGGCTCTGTCTGTCTGTCTATCTGTCGGTTAGGCGGTGGACATCGTTGTCTTTCCCTCTTGCCGCCGCCGTTGCTGTTATTGCTGCAGTTTATGTTTTCTGTATCACTGGTTCGGGCAGGCTAAAGTTGACTAATTCTTTGTATGTTCACTCTTTTATCTTGTTATGCTTACCCAACGACTCGTGCTGCTGCTGCGGCGGAGATGCTGCGAGCAGACTGGGCTGTTGGGCTGCTACTTGCTGTGAAAGCTGCCGTCACAACAGCATCGGCCAGGGCGCTGTACTCGCTCACCCACTTTCCTTTTGTCTGCCTGCCTTGCTAAATAGCAGCTTCCACTTCGACGGGCGGCCACTGCTTTTACCTGGCTGTTGCCCAGCGAGCATTCTACGCTGTGCTGCTCTTCGCGGCCTCCTATTACTCGCACATCCGCTGTTGTGCTATTGTCGACCCTATTGCCATCATACCACTACCATAAGCAGCGGCAGCAGCCAGCCAAGCACAACACTCATAGCTGAGCTACTCTAGTCAGCAACGGCAGTGGCCTCCTCCCAACGTCACCCTCAGACGTCTTAACAGCACGGCACAACGGAAAACTCAGTAGTAGTAGTAGTAGTAGTAGTAGCAGCAGCAGCAGCGGTAGTAGCAGCGGCCAGGCGCCACCATCACCGTTGACTGCGCGCGCTGACGCTCGTTTCGTTGGTTCGATCGCACGCTCCTTTTGTCAGAGCCTCTACCGTGGTGCTGCGTCTTTAGGCGGTGATGGCGACGACGCTGCCGCCACTCTACCACTGTACGCCAGCATATATTTCAGCAGTCGTACACAGCCTGAGTTGAATACGCACACGTACACACACTCACACGCATATACAGGCATATAGAGACGGCTACAATGAAAACGGTCCAATGCAACGGCTGGAACCAGCTCGCTGCATCTAGGCAGTACCCACGCTCTGTTTCTCTCGCTCACACGCTACACACGGTCAGACAAACGCACAGACCGACATATATAGATTCACACATAGAGTAGCATTCAACCACACTTCCATTCCGGTCACATACAAACGCCCCCACACGTACACAAACACACGCACTGCGGCTGCGGCGTCTGTGACCCGTTGTCGTCTAAGCCGGTACAGAGAAACACAAAGAGGGAGAAAAAGAGATGTGAGTGCTGCTGATTGTTCTGCTATAGGACCCTGAGTTAGCTTACCTCTCCCCCTAGCCCAAACGTCCATAAAGGTTATCTGTGCTGCTGTTCATGCCCTTTGGATCTGGCCCGCCCGTTCTGCGTCTGCGGGGCGAATGGGTACTGGTGGTGCTAATGTCAGGCGCCCACGACGATGCTGTGCGCTTTTGAGCTAAGAGTTGCTGTTTTTATTGGCCCTCTCCCCTTTGGCTGCTATTGCTGTCCAGGGAACCTGTAGTAGCTCCTACCCTCCCTATCGGTTGATCGGTCGGTCGGTCGGCCAGCCGGCCGTTCGTTCGTTCGCTCGCTCACCAGCCAGCCAACCATATTTACTCTTTGTACTGTCGAACCGGTGTGCTACTTGTGTAAATATATTTTGTATTCGTATATTATACAGTGGAATGATAGGAACAGACGAGGGGAGCGGACGGAGCTCGCATACGGGAGAGCGTTCAGAGCTTCTCTTCCTCCCCTCCACTCGCGCAGGATTGCCGCACAGTAAGTGCTGTTGCCACCATTGCATCGCCTGGCTGCCGATCCGCGCACCACTAACAGCTAGGCAAGCACCCTCACTCATCTATCTACTTTGCTGCTTAGTTGACGCAGTGGACGCCCTCTCGCGGCCGTGGCGCATCGCAGCATAACAGAACCGAATGGCAGCAACGTACACTGCGGCGGCAGCAAATCACAGTGGTTGGTAGCAGGCCGCAGTAGTCTTTACATCCTTCCCAGCCCGTGACAACAGACCCTCAACAAGGGGTGCGTGCGGGTGTGCAGCATCACTTGCACCCTTTCCCCTGGTGCGTCTTTCTCTCCTTGCCAGCATCGTTATTAGCAGCCCTTGCCCTTATCTGACCCTTACCACAATGATCTCAACAGCCCTATTTGCGCCGCGAGCACCACAGCTACGAGCATCGTTGAGAGTACGCTCGTGAATGTCAGAGTGCGAATAACGAGCGGAGGTTTGGTGTATTAGGCCCTACATCGCGGACAACCATCACCGATAGGCAGAGTAGGGTCAGTCGACCGGCGTAGGGCAACCAGGCAAG